TTTTGATTTATTTTGGTTATTAAATAACAGGCCCCATTTGTTGCTTACATCAACCTTTTTTATTTTTCTTGAAGATAAAGGGGGTAAAATCTGGGCCCCCTTTAAAAACCCCCCCGGTTCGGTTTTAGTGGGGATTTGATAGATTTATTATGTTAAACAAAAATTGGGGTTACGTTCAGAGGCACCAAACTTTTTGGAACCCTTTGGCGGGGGTTAAACAGGGCCTTGGGTTCTCTTTGTTGGGGTTTAACCGGCTTAGTTCTTTTTGAATGAAGTTCCCTGAGATCACTTACTAATTTTAAAAACTGTCAGGGGGTTAAACCCCCTTTTTTGGTATAGTTTGTTTTTAAACTTTTTCAGGTCGTGTTAAAGGGATTTGTGCAGTTTTAGTTTTACTTATAGTGTTTGAGCAAAGAAAGTGTAGTGGGAAATTTAAAACAATTGCCACCTTAGATTTTTTCGTGGGGATCCCCCCTTATCGATTTGTGATACTATTTAATCCTTTCTGGCTTATGGTATACCCCAAATGTTTTGTTGTTTTCCCGAGCTTTTCTGGGGGTTATGGGTTATACTCTTCAATTTTTTTAGCAAAAGGGCTTTGCCTTTGCTTTCCCTTTTAAATTTTCTGTACTCGTTCCCACCCTTTGGAATTCATTTTGTGCAAATCAATATCCTTGGGCCCGTTGCTTTAAACTTTTAGGGAGCTGGCCCCCTGAATTTTTTTTTTAACTATAAAATCAGTATTTTATCCAGGGCTAGTTTCCCCGTTTAAAAACTAACCCTTTAACTGGTTTCAATTTATCAAGGATTTTAGGAACATTTTTTTGAAATTTTTCCCCGGCATCGTTTTTGTCCGTCAACTTGGTTTTTCTCTGTTTCCCGTCACGATTGTTTAAACCTTTTTACCAAAGGGTTTTTATACTGTTGTTTTTTAGTTTACCTCTTTTTTTTTGTTTCCCCCGTTTTTTAGGGGGGGGGCCCATCCTATCCCATGATTTTTTCCTGTGCAAATAAAAAGATGAAATGTTTACTAAGACCTGTGGGATGGGCGCCCTGACTGGGTAAAAGGTTTTCACGCGGTTACAAAATATTTGGTCAAATTTTGGGGGGCCTTTAGAAATGTTTGATCCCCGGGGTTTTTTTTATTTTATTTTTAGTGTAAATATTTTTAAACTGGGTTTTTTCTTATACCTTTTATAGCCCCTTATTTTGCTGGGTGAAAAACCCGTTATTTAATTTGCCCAGTAAATTTTTGTCTCGAATTGTTTTCAAATTTCCCGACAAGACTCTGGAAAAAGGGTTTTTTAAGAACGGTCCTGGGAAGGGATTGGTAACTATTTTTCCCTTTTAAGATGGGTTTTTGGGCTTGGGGAAAACAGCACTTTAATACCATAGAATCTATTTTTTTCGGGTTTTTTAAAAAAAGGTTTGGGGTTTTAAGCTAAGTCATTTTTAATGTACCATAAATTTCCAAAAACCCCTTTTTTTTTTCCCATCTAAGCGGTTTTAAAATTTTTTTAAAAACCTTTTTTTGGGGCCTCGCCGTCATTTACCCTATCCCTCCAACCCCAAAATTTTAGAGATGGGTTTAACGCCGCCCAATTTTTTTAGCTAGAACCTAAACTCCCGCCAAATTTTTTAAGAAGTGATTTGCATTGAAGGGAAAAAAGTTAAGGGGTTTTTTCGTTTAAAAAAATCATAATATCAATTAAAAGGAATGGGTCATTTGTAAATTTAAAAATTTGGTTAAAACAAAGGGCCCTCACTGCTAAAGGGTTAAATGGGCCAAAATGCATTTGTTACCACAAAAATGAATTCTGGGAAACGTTGCTATAATTGGGACATCCCTCCATCAAGGGACCCCCCCCTTCACCTTTTTACCCTAAGGGGCCCTTTTTTTTTTCATGCGTACTTAGTGCAGTGAATTTTCACCCGTTTGGGTGTGTTTTTAGATAATAATGGGTGTATTGTCTCACATTTACCTATGTAGCATTACATATGGGGTTAAGGTTTCTTTCCCCAGCTTAACCGTCATTTTCGCCCTTCATTTATCTGTCTTTTTTTGCCCTGCCCCATTTGTTTTTGGGGCCTGGATTAATTTGGATATCACCCTTAAAGCGCTGCCAAAAAAGCTGTGGGGGGCCACTGTTTTTTTTTTGGGTTTTTCGGTTTTTGCCAAACCTTGCGCGATAGTGAGATTTACTTTTCCCGGTAGCCCCCGGAAAATGATCCCGGGTTCTTTCCCCGTAGTGGGAAACCCTTAAAGCTCCAAAAAGTGGGAAATACGCTAAGTACCCTTTCCCGATGTTTTCAGTGATTTTTTTTAGGGCATATATTTGTAGTTTTTTGAATCTTTTGTAAAAGGGGGGGCTGCGAAATACCAGATGACAGAAGTCGCAAGGGGGGTGGGACCCGCCCGGGGGCTGCCGCAACCCGGCCCCGCCCCCCCCCTGCGTAACCTCCGCTTTGGGCGTGGCAAGGTCCAACCCTTTTCAACGTACACTGCTGAAACCCGCGGGTCCCCTGTAGACAGAGGCACTTTTAATAAACCAAGATATGGGACGGGGCCCTCAAAAAAAATTGTAACAACTTTATATATATCGAGAGGTATATATCTCTCGGTGTATATACAGTGGGTGTATATATAGAGTATATACTCGAGAGATATATAACGATAATTGTTAATACACCGAGAGGTGTGTTATATATATAGTATGCATTCACCGAGATGTGTGGGTATATTGCAGCATATATGCACTGAGTATATTTCTCGGTGTAAAACACTGAGATATTTTTACTTTCCAGTGTATATACACATACACTGAAAAATATACCTCTCGTTGAATGCCAGACCAAAGTTAGGTTCGGGTGCCGGAAACCACCGTCTCATGCAAAACCTACACACAAGATACCAAAGTAACAAGACGACCCCTGGCACGCCTCTCTCTATGACGACTCGCCAGGAAGCTTTCAAAGTTCGCCACATGTCAATGGACTGTCCAGTCAGCCAGGTGCATCAACCTTGACCGTCCTCCTCGCCGAAAGTCCCCACCTTTAATTTCCTTTGACTTTTTTTTTAACATAAATTACCCTTATTACTATCCTTATTGCTTTAGACACCTTTATGCTGTATGACCCATATGGGTTTAGCTCTCTTTTCCTTATGACTATATTGGTAATAATAATCATAATAATAATAGCAATTATAATAATAATGCTAATACCCGGTGGCCCGGTGGCCTGGTGGCTAAAGCTCCCGCTTCACACACGGAGGGCCCGGGTTCGATTCCCGGCGGGTGGAAACATTTCGACACGTTTCCTTACACCTGTTGTCCTGTTCACCTAGCAGCAAATAGGTACCTGGGTGTTAGTCGACTGGTGTGGGTCGCATCCTGGGGGACAAGATTAAGGACCCCAATGGAAATAAGTTAGACAGTCCTCGATGACGCACTGACTTTCTTGGGTTATCCTGGGTGGCTAACCCTCCGGGGTTAAAAATCCGAACGAAATCTTATCTTACCAATACTACTACTACTATTACTATTGCTGCTTCTATTACTACTAATATTAATAATAATGAGTAAAACAATAATGTGCAATAGTGTGGTATCTTTACTGATAAGACGTTTCGCCAACTAGTGCCTTTATTAACTTAATACAATGCTGGATACGGTGAAAGACGTGAAGAGGAAGTCTGAGGAGATCAGTCCCTTAGCCTTTAAGGGTTTTCAGTCCAAGAGCCTTGGTGAAGCTCTTGAAGGTGCTGAGCTACAGCTCTTGGGTCTTTTGAAGGCGTTGAGCTAAAGCTCCTGGGTCTTTTGAAGGTGTTCAGCTACAGCTCCTGGATCTCTTGAAGGTGCTGAGCTACAGCTTCTGGGACACTTGAAGGTACTGAGCTACAGCTCCTGGGACACTTGAAGGTGCTGAGCTACAGCTCCTGGGACACTTGAAGGTACTGAGCTACAGCTCCTGGGACACTTGAAGGTGCTGAGCTACAGCTCCTGGGTCGTTTGAAGCTGTTGAGCTAGAGCTCTTTGGTTAAATACTAGCTTTTTTTTACAGCTTATTTATTAAAATTTCTACTATGACTGAAATGGTCTGGTTGATCAGGTCCTGGTCCACCACGAGGCCTGGTCACCGACCAGGCGGCGGGGACGTTGTCCCCCGAAACCCCCTCCAGGTATACTCCAGGTACAGTATTGCTGTCGTAAATCGTAACGCATTATCCAAGGATAACCCAACAAATCTAGTTTAGTGTAATTCTCTTATCAAAACTGTTATGAGTGCGAATATTTATAGACTTTTTGTGTAAAAAGCTCATTCGTTATCTATTAGTCAGTTGTGATAAATGGTTCAGAAAACCGACAAGTTGAAGAATGAGACACTTGTGGGATGTTTTGGAATCTTGAGTGAGGAAACGTTTCGCCACACAGTGGCTTCATCAGTCCAATACAAAGAAGAATGGTGGAAATAGAGGAGTCTGAAGTAATCAGTCCCTCAGCCTGGAATCGATATGTTCAGTCCATAAATCTACTGAACATATCGATTCCAGGCTGAGGAATCGATATGTTCTTTGTATTGGACTGATGAAGCCAGTGTGGCGAAACGTTGCCTCAATAAAGATTTCAAAAAGTTGCACGTGTCACATTTTCCATTAGCCAGTTGTAGTTGATGTATGTGTGTGTGGTGTAAGTAACGGGGTGTACACAGAGTGGTGTGCTATTATAAATAGTGTGATGGCTGTGGATTGTATTAGTATCCCTGACATCACTAACTCCTTGATCTCCTAATAGATTATCCAGACGACCGAATCTTTTAGCGCGGCCGATATTCGTGGCGAGTTTATGTGCTGGATGATAGTTTAGGTGGTGATGGTGGTGTTGGTGAGTGTGTGTGAGGGAGGGAGATAATATTACGGGGTTTTAATGAAGGCGGCTGACGGAAGCCAAGCTTAGAAACCTTCGTCTTATCTCCTGGTCTCGCCTGACTCTGACTCCGACTTAATTTTCGCTCTTCAGTGGACCCCCCGTTTGTGTAACCAATAGGAATATTCACTCGGAGAGTGACCTGACAATAAAACAACTAAATGTTGATACATTTTCAGGTACGCGATGAGAAGCGTATTACAATAAATGTAATATTTTTTGTTTCAAGTCTTAATTCGGACAGAGTGTTGATGAGCGTCAGAATCTCAGTAATGGCGGACGGTGGGGCTCACACGATAAGAATCAGACACGTATTTTAAGCCATTTAACAATTGATATTAATAGTAACCTCTAGGAAAAGCAGCACATGATTCAGCTCTCTACACAAACGGGTAAGAATGGAGATATTAGTGGTTGAGGGCTGGTGTTGGCGGTGATTGAAAGGTTATGATGGCAGACTGCCGTGAGGTGAAGCAAACATACTTACCTGCAATTGTTGCGTAAATAAAGAAAAATGGAGGTGTGACGAGTTCTTAGCCATCACCAAGTGTTCTCCGGCCTCCCTCACCTCCTCACCTGCTTGTTATAATTCTTACAGAGACTTCAGTATTACTCGTCAAGTAATACTGTTTAGTGATAGTGTTGATATTTTTTTTTGTATACAAAGGGTATAAAATATTATGGCTATAGTTACTGACTACAACTCTGCAGAACTTGGGCATTAATTGACAATTTATGATATATACAACCTGTGTACAACACGTAATGTGTAAGTATTTTTTGTGCAAATTGTTATTTTGGAGATATTGGCAATATAGTAAGTTTATCTAGGTACAGGTACACATAAGTACAATTATCATACATAGTGCAAATTACCCAAGATAACCCAAAAACGTCAAACAAAGTGACTTATTTCCATTGAGGTACTTATATTTCCATTGGATAGCCACTATGTTTGAGCCAGTCACCACTTTCAGGAGGCCTGGTCACAGACCGGGCCACGGGGGCGTTGACCCCCGGAACTCTCTCCAGGTAAACTTAGTATTGAGTCTTGTCCTTCTCTTGGCTGGATGTAAATGAAGGTGGCAGGCACCAACAACTTGATTAATTAGGCCAGCAACCAGGAAGCTTGGTCTGGGTTGGGTCACAGGGGCAGTGACCTCCACAACCATCCCCAAGTATACTCGGGGTAAATATCAGATGTCTTCAATATGTTTGTTCTGGAAATAAATGGTATAAAATACCAACACAATGGAAAATTAAGCATATAAGCAGTATAATGTGATCCTTTATTGACAATGTTTTGCCCACACAGTGGGCTTTGTGAGCTTTATCAAGTCACAAATAGTTCTCCCATATACAAATTAAGTATCAGTAAGCAGTAACCTAACCTAACCTAAAATAAACCTAAATTATGCAGTTGGAAAATTCATGGTTACGTTTTAGTAGGTCACTGATCCAGCCATTTGGTAATTTGCCATTGGTAGTGATTTGGAAAATTGGTACATTATTCCCTAAAAATAGCCAAAATGCTAATATTCATTCACAGTACAATGATGTCCCTCCTAACCTCCTTGATACATTGGCTACTGCTACCACATATGCAATTCTTTAACAAAAATTACTTTTTTAAGATAACGTTTACCCTAATGAACTCCTATGCTGTTAGGTAAGACACATATGCAACAGTTAGGTATCTTTATTTCAAAACGTTTCGCCTACACAGTAGGCTTCTTCAGTCGAGTACAGAAAAGTTGATAGAAGCAGAAGATACTTGAAGATGATGTAATCCGTCCATCACCCTTGAAGTTTTGAGGTGGTCAGTCCCTCAGTCTGGAGAAGAGTATTGTTCCATAGTCTGTTGAATATGTTCTTACCTAACAACCTGTCGGTATTTTATACCATTTGAATGTTAACTCCTATGCTGTTAAGGCCCCCTAACTATGATACAAGAGCTGTTGCAATCCAAGAATAGGTCAGAATTTTGCATATGTAGTGGATATCCACCATCCTTGATAAAAAATTTAATACTGTACATTGTTTTTGATATGCACTTTTTCATCAACAGCCTCAAATTGAGTTGATTGGGATTCTGGAATTACAAAAGAATTTAGTTGAATAGCGAACAAAATGTCTGTTGCATAAAAATTGGTAATTTTCAATATTGCTCCCAAGGTGTCATTTTTTTTTTCTCTTCATAGGTGTGCAGCTCTACAATGGCTTTGTCGGAAGGATTGTTAAAGCTGAGATGGAACAATCATGAAGCAACTTTCTGTCATATCTTGCACAGACTCCGCTCAAGGGTATGCTAATGTTTATATATCTATAGTAATTACCCTATTAGAAATGGATTTTCTAGTTTAATTGCTTCAATGAATTGTCAGGTAATATAGTACATATATGAATTTGATTGACATAAGATACCTGGAGTTTACCTGAGAGGGGTTTTGGGGGTCAATGCCCCCGCAGCCCAGTCTGAGACCAGGCCTCATGGTGGATCAGGGTCTGATCAACCAGGCTGTTAATGCTGGCCGCACACAAGCTGACATACGAACCACAGCCCAGTTGGTCAGGTACTGCTTTAGGTGCCTATCCAGTGCTTCTGAAAATATTTTCTTAATTGCCTTATTATATCTTATGTATATCAATATTTTTAGAGCCACTGTTATATTATTCAAAAGTGAATTCTCTCATATTATTAATAGGTTCAATATTTATTTTTTCATAATCATAAATTCAGTCTTATTCTGTCATTATTTATAAATGCATTGTTTTTCTGGCATTATTTGTATGTGCACCGTTTATTCTAGCAAATTATTTAGGATTATGATTATTTATAATTATGATTTTTTTATAGTTCTTATTCTTAATTTCCAGCTATGGTATTGTTACTTGTTTTAATTTCCAGCTATGGTATTGTTACTTGTTTTTACAGCCTCGGTATGCTGATGCAACACTGGCATGTGAGGGTCGTCTCTTTATGGTGCACAGGCTTGTGCTTGCCACTTGCAGTGACTTCTTCGATGAGATTTTCCAACAGACACCAAGTGACACAACACGTGCGGTTATAGTGCTGAACGAGGCACGTGCCCAGGATGTGGAATGCTTGCTAGACTACATGTATTGTGGTCAGGTTTGTGCTATCCTTAGTAAATTTTATTTTACAATTACAATGTATATAGTATATAAAGAATGTTTAATTTAGCATTTTATAGCAAACTGTGTTTAAATGTAATTAGAAAATAAGATTAACAAAAGCATACCTTCTGTTAAACTATAATCTTATTACTAGTTACAAACTCTCTTTCAGCTAGCATGTGTGTGTACAATTTAGGTTCTGGAATCAACTCTCTTTAGTTGGTAAATTCAAAGTTCTAGAGTTTTTACACAGTGCAGCTTAAACTAGTTAAGCTTCCTTGTATACAAAAATGATCCTGGGAAAATATTGTTCTAAAATATTTTTAAGTTATAATGCAAAAGAGTATTGATAGAGTGAAGGGTATCTAATGTATTCGTAATGTTCTAATATTTACGGTTATATTATTTACAGCTAATATTTTGGATTTTAAAGGGATGCATGAAGAGGATATGTGGGTTAACTAGTTAATAGTTAGAGAATATAATTATCAATCCAAGTTTCTTCATTTTTCCTCAACAGATTAATGTACAATACACAAATAACCCACAGTTAGGTGAGGGAATGTAATGATGATGTGTTGGTTCAACTTGGAATGTTGACTTGTTAATGGTCTAAGTCAGTTGAAGTTTTGTCATTACTTTCTCTCTTACGTACTTATTATTTGTGTATTGTTCCAGCCACGGTATTGTGACTTTATTCTTTAGGTTAATGTGCGTCAGGCCAACCTAGCATCACTTCTGAAGACAGCTGAATGCCTTAAGATTAAGGGTCTAGCAGTCCCTGAGCCAAATGTCAGCACATCAAGTAAGTTCTGTCATTTTACAAAAAAGTAATGTTTCTGTTTGGAATGTGCATTGATATTTTCCAAAGTAATTATACAATGTAAATCATACTGTACTATTTTGAGGTATGTTACATTTTCTGCCTTCACACTAAATAATAATCTCCAGTTTAACAGTTATTGTGGAAACATTGGGTATTTATATTTGCCACTATCAAAAGAGCAATGGTATCTTCTATTTGTATATGAAGATTACATTCTGAAGAATAACAAAATAAAGCATTAATATCCCTCAATTACAGTTTCAGCTAGAAAGAATGAGAAGAATGATGTGTTTTATGGATTATTGATATATGTTACTTTACTGTGTTACGAAACTATCAGTACTCCTTGATAAAACAAAAGTAAATAGAATGTAATCAGATGGGCAGAAATATACATGGAAATATTGTAAGTTCTCATTTTGAATGAAGCCCTATTGTCTTTTTTTTTTTTTTAACCCTTAAACTGTCCAAACGTAGATCTTCTTTTTTTTTTACATGCTTTCAAATGGGGAAAATCGAGGTCGGAGCAATACGCACATGAACATAGATCTACGTTTGGACAGTTTAAGGGTTACTTTAGGGTGTCGTATGTCAAGCAAAAGGATAATGAGCACTAAAGACTAAAATGTGAATAATTGAAGCTATTCACTCATATTACAAAGCACATAAATTTTAGGTCTCAATTGTACTGTACCAGTAATAGTGGTTATAATTGTAACAATAATTTTTAAAGGTGTGAACCCGTGAGCCAGCTGGAGCTTTTGGTCAGATGACCGAAAGCTCCAGCATTGGGTCAACATACATGTATGACAAAAACCCACCTCAGGAAACACTTGTCTTGTTTCTTGACAAACCTTTCCTAACCTAACTGTACTGTATGTACAAACATGGATAATAAAACATACTGTAGCACTATAGTAATATTACATACATAGTTTTTATCATTCTGGTTTCAGATACAAAACGTAATCAGGAACAGCCTACATCTCCTGACAGCCCGCCACTTAAAAAGAAGCGAAAAAAGAAAACGGTACTTCCTTCAGGACTACCACCAACGACGACATCTGACTCTCTTATTGTTCCAGATACTCCTTTGTCATCCTCATGGCCCCCTTCAGATGATTCTTCCAAGTTCACAAGCATCCAGGCTCCTACACATCCAAGTAACTCTGTTCCTGTCTGCTCTTCTTCACACACTCAACCTTCTCTCTACACTTCCACAACAACAAGTCACTCCCTTCCATTAACTTCTTCTTTAAAGGTAAATGTACCTGTAACAGATGTCGATAAGACCAACCAAAAATCTGGCTGGCTTCAGATTGTGTCATCAATGCGTCAGGGATCAACAACTTCTGAAACGACTTCAGAAAGCGATAATCTCAACCAGCAGCAATCTCATCAACTCCAAAAACACAGTACAGCTTTCTCCAGGAAAACAAAATCTTCACCAAAAGCTTCAACCTTTGACAATTACCCAAGCCAGTTTCTTCAGGTACAGTATGTCATTAGTATTTCTGATTATATATCTGGTTTAACAACCAGCCATTTGTCATATTTTTTCAGTGGCTATTTACAGTTTTAGTCCTATAGTGTACTAATATATAGTTGAAAGTCCTTGTTTTCTGAAAATATTTTTTTGATTTATCTTTCACTAAGTTTCTGGTAAGCAGATTTAAAGGGTATGTATTGCAATATTTTCAAGAAAACAAAACAAAAAAAAATTGGATTTACTTTATTTGTCAATCATTTCTACACTCATCAAAAAAATCAATAAATGTGAAAAGTAGTTTATGAAATTCATTCTCTGCTTGGGAACTAAGGACATGAATGTACAGAAGAGCACCAGTTATTAAAAAAAAAAATTAATCTAAAATTAGTACAGTGTACTGTAATAACAGTTGTTTGGGAACTCTTCAGTTTAGACGAATTCCCTTGAAGAGTGAAGACCTGTACGTATTTGGCCTTGCTCATGTATTGGTCAGTGTAGATGGTAAATAACTAGGCTTCAATCATGGAGGTGGGAAATACAATGTACTCAAGGAGAGGTAAGGATGTTGCAATTCAGAGGGACATTTGGATTGTGAAGTCTGCACACCCTTGGCAAGATAGCTAGTACAGAAATGATAATGGATGTCACCCTGCCTTTGAGATGGCTGGTGCAGAAAAAATATTTAGGGTCAGGCTGTGGATTTTTTTTCTCCTAACAAACCGGCTGTATCCAACTGAAGCAGGGTGACCTAAAAAGAAAAACGAAAGTTCTTCTTTTTAAATTTAGTAATTTATACAGGAGAAAGGGTTAATAGCTCCTTGCTCCCAGCATTTTAGTTGCCTCGTATGACACTCATGGCTTACAGAGGAAGAATTCTCTTCCACTTCTCCACGGAGTTGTGAAGAATTAGAGAAAATCCTAAATATTCTCTTATAGTTTAATAAAATAAGATTTCTTTTAGCATATTCAGTCAGCAACTTTTGAAAAACTACTCTGCTGTAATTTTTGACACTCGCCAGTTGTTCATGTTTAATTGCTTTCAGACGGAAATTAAGGAAGAGGTCAAAGAGGAGCCATTATTACCAGTACCCTTAGGCCATGATGATACACAAGGCGAGGAAGAGAACAGTTGGGAGGATCATAATCCTGATCAAGAATCAGGAGATCGGCTTGTGTATCAACGAATTCCATCACTTTACCCACCTCCTCCTGGGCTGCACCCAGTGGTGTCTAGTAGTGGTCTGACTCACACTACACCTGTGTTGCCACTGGGATTGTTCCGTGTTGGATCATATGCAGTGGTAAGTGGAGTACAGCAAGTCCTGTTTCACTGCTGTAACTCATTCAAATTATACCTTACACAGTAGAAGTATGTGCATGATTTCTGTTGAGGTGGAAGGGTTATGGTGTGTATTGGGCAACATTTCATGGATGTATTAGTAGTGGTCATAAAAGTTTTTACAAATTATTTAGGAAGAATGTATTATAAAATAGTACTAAGTTCCTACATCACACTTGATTTAGCAGAAGAGTGAAAAACCTAACTTAACTTTCCCCTGGCATTGAAATATTAGCTTTAATGAAAAATGTTTCTTTTACTAAGTGACATTGTAGATACAGCATAGTATTTTAAATTAATCTTAATTTGGTATTTACCTATTGAAAAATTGGTATGAATTATTCTTGGTTCTTAAGTTAATTTACTTGCAGCAGAGTGGTGGGCAAGCATGGGAGAACAAAGGTCAGTTGAAACAATCTCCAGAGCAAGGAAATCATGAAGCATTGCCCAGTGCCAGCCAGCAGGCTATGGTAGGCCTCTAAAAACAGTAGGCTAGGCCATGCATGACTAAACCTCTCTCATAAAGCTCCTCCATATAGTAGGTTTTTTTGCTAAATACGATTGAATGGTATATTAAAATTGAATAGCATATGGAAAGGCTTTCATAATATGTGCTATTTAACTTGCAGTTGCAGTTACAGTCACTATGTAGAGGAACTTTATAAGAGAGCTTTGCTTAATTATGATTATAATAAGAGAACTTATTAGACTGAATTGCATGATGTATCTAGTACAGTGTTTCTGATTGTTTCCAAGCCATTTTTGTATATGACTGTAAAATTCTCTAGGTCTTAAGATTTTTATTTGATTTAATTATAAATAAAATAATAAAAATATAATTCACTAAAAATTTCACAAGTACTCTAATAGAAAATTGTCAAGTGAACTCAATTTATATTTTATGCCTATTTTTAATGCTTGTTTTATATTGAGAGCTAGTAATGCATTAAACACTAGAGTGTGTATTCCTTAATGTTTAAAAATTTCTGTTTATATTAGTAAAGTAAAAATAAGCCATCTAGCCATGATCATGTGAAATACTAACCAGAAACACGCAATATGTATATACATACATTCATTTCCCAAAGTATGGTTTCGGATGTATTTATAAATGTATTGAATCATAGCATGAGGTAATGGTTCTAATGGTGTGTATTTTCACTACTGTTTTACTTACCATTCTCCATGTAAACCTTGACTGGTAGTAAAGTAATTGATACATGATCAGGAGTAGAAATAATCATATCCAGAATGAGAGAAGAAATAAAGATCAGGAAGGAGAAGAAATGAAGATCAGAAATGAGAGTAGAAATTAAGATAAATAAGGAGAATATAAATAACTATCAGTTTTTCTTTTAAATCTATGGCTGTCTACCTGCTAAGAAAGGGTGACCCAAAAAGGAAGCACATTCATCATAACTCATTCAAGAGCTGGAGAAAAATAGCACAGTTGCAGAGAGAAACTTTTTTGACATGTTTCACTGGCAGAGTAAGCTTCTTCAGTCAGTATACAGGGATATGCACTAAGCAGTTTATACAAGCATAGACAGGCAGGTCAGTGAGGTCACTGAGTAGGTGAATTGCAGGATAGGGGGCACTGTACTAGATTGTGCTACCCTATTAATTTAAAAGCTTATTTTTTATAATGGTGTTATATACCAATGAAAAATGATCAGTTGGTATTATGAACATTTTTCACAACTGCGGTGTTTTTATTTAATTATTTTTTTATTAATACACAGGCCGTTTCCCACCAAGGCAGGGCAGGGTGACCCAAAAAAGAAAAACTTTCATCATTCACTCCATCACTGTCTTGCCAGAGGCATGCTTACACTAGTTATAAAGCTGGCATTCTGACGAAGTGTATATAACACTGCAGGCACAGTGTATAACTGCAGTGTTATAGACTGTATTAACTTTTTTTGTGAGATTAAAAGTTAATACAATATAGTTAATACAGTTCGTACTGTATGAGCATCCTTTAAGAGGTAGCTATACATGTATGCACGCAAAACAAAGTACTGTATTCACCAAAATGAATCAGAGGATGCATTTTCAACATATTATGGTAAAGAAGTGCAATGAACTGAGCAATGACACATTGCAAGCAGACTCCATTGAGGGATTCAAAAATAGACATGACAGGGGCTCAGTCACATCAAAAGAGGCAATTACATATAGTATGTAGAAGAAAATTTGTGTATTCTATTTATACGTTATGATGCTGTATGACCTCTTCTCTCAACAAAGGGGGGGATGCTTTGATGCCAGTGAAGGGCTCTTGATCCAAGGAACTGGACTTCTCCCCTTCTTGGATCGAACCTAAGTACCTCCTAGTCTCCAAGTGCTTCATGACCCCTATGGGTTTCAAACTTCCCATGGATTAAAGTAAAAAAAAAAGTATGACCACTACAAGGTATAGCACGTTTCCAAAATTTTAATAATAATAATAAAATTGATAGCCAGTAGATTTTTTTTTTATTTTTTGCCTTAATTAAAGCCTTAACATTTTCAGGATTTGGGCCTAAATCATCTCGCTGGACTGAACGTAAAAAATGAATCTTCTCCGGTAAGGATCAGTATTGAAGCCCATTACTTATTATTTGTCTGATTCATGAATTCAAATGATACAAAGATATAAAGTCAGTAATGAAGACTGGAAAAATGTGACAAACAACATCTCATGGAGTGAATGCGTTTCTTATTTTTGGGTTCCCCTACCTTGGGGGAAATGACTGGTGTGTTAAAATAACAGTAAAACCAGTCATAGATTACCTCTCTTAAGTGCAAATTATTTGTGAAAGGAAGGAGTTTTGTAACATGAAGTGTAGTATCCAAATTTTGCTTTTATCTTATTGCTATGTTGTGTCGAATCAGTATTTCGTGTGTTGATTATTTTAATGATTTGCACCATGTAATATGAAGGTTTAACCACTATCAGTATTTTGGGGTTTCATTTATTTTTAACCTGCAGTAAAGTCACTCCAGGTGAGGTTACATTGTAAGAGGGTTTACTGTAATAACATTTAATCATATATACTGAAGTTACATCATTACAGTACAGTATTTCAAACTGTTATTGTATATTTGTTCTGCAATAACTTATTATACATCCACATCTTCCTCTTAGCCTTCCTTTCTCCTCTTTCACAACACTTAAATTTTTTAATATAGTAATAGAGTTTGCAGCTTACTCTTTTCACAGATAATATTTGGGATCTTATAATTTGTGCTTTTTCATAGATATTCAGAGACAAATCTTGGTTAATATATCCGTAACTGAAAACTTTTGAGAAATGCTCCTTTAATTACAGAGCCAAGCAACCATGTCTCCAAAGCTTATGCCATATGCCATGTGCTCAAATTGTGGCACCAACAACACGAAACTTTGGCGGCGTAATGATAAAGGTAAGAATATGACTGAAGATATTTAGGTACGGGTAGTTAACTGGTTGTAGCAAAAGTGTAAAGGGTACACCTGAACAGATGTTAGTGTAGTTGTGGGGTTGTAGTTGTGATATAAATCGTACATAAATAGGTGTAAGGGGTAGTTAATAATTTTAGTAGAGAAGTGACAAGAAATGAGAAGTGAAAATGAGGAGATAGCATAATGGAAAAGAAAAGAGCTGAAAAGAAAGAACAAAAAAAAAAAGGCACAATACAGTGACTGGAATGATACACAAATAACCTGCACATAAAAGAGAGAAGCTTACGACGACGTTTCGGTCCGACTTGGACCATTGACAAACTCACACTAACCAGAAGTGGAGCAGGACGGCTATATATAGGCAGGAAGAGGTGGTGGTAGTAGTAGTAGTATTAGTAGTAGTACAAGAATGGTATATAATACCGGCAAGATGAAATTAAGACACATGCGCAACACCCGGGCATCCCTATCGTAGACGTTTCGCCATCCAGGCAGCCACTGAATGGCGAAACGTCCACAACAAAGACAACCAGACGCCGCACATGTGTCTTAATTTCATCAGTAGTTGTAGTAGAAGTATTAGTAGAAGAGGTAGTAGTAGTGGTGGTGGTGGTGGTAGAAATGGGAAATAAGGAGGACGAGCCAGTCAAATACAAAGGAAGGGGAGCACTGCAAGAGAGCTAGGTGCCCACTGAGGGAGAGCAAGTGCACAGAGGTGCGTGAAAGGGAAAGTGGTGAAATAAATGAAGAAGGAACAGAAACACGAGACAGAAGAGAGAAAGACAACCCAGAGGAGAAAAGGAAAGAGGAAAGGGGAAGAGGGAGAAGAAGAAAAAGAAAAAGAAAAAATGAGGAGTCAGGTTAAGTCACGGGTGTTCTGAAAAGAAGTTTAGATGAGCTTGAAAGTTTATTGTTAAAAGAGTTAGTAGGTACCAGATATATAGACATGAAATAGTAAAATGGAAAAATATATACAGTAGTAGATAGTAACTGCAAGATAGATGAGGGTCTGTGCTGAGTTCTCAGTTTAATGATGAAACTTGTTTGGATAATATCAGTAGAGACTTCAGTTCTGATGTAAAAAAATTCAAAAGATCTGGATAGTAGTTAAAGGGAGAAGTTATGGAGATTACCCTAACAATAATGTTTGCAAAAGCTTAAATAATTATTTTTGGGGAATATTAGAGATGCAGGGCAAGGCAAGAATATAAGCGTTTTGTTTACTGACAGGTGAAATTGTGTGCAATGCCTGTGGTCTGTACTTCAAACTTCACGGCATCAACCGACCCAGCCACCTCTTTCGAACAGCACCCATGACTCGCAGAAGGAATCCCAAAAAGAAGAAGGAAGCTGAAAGTGGTACGTCCGAACAGCCAGAACAGATAGCTAGTGGTAAGTACAGTGGACTCCTATTAATTCACAGTGTTAGGTTTCTGGAAATACTGTGAATTACCCGACCATGAGTTACAGTCGTTAACTTGAGGGAACAAGTGGACGTGTTCTGCAACTTCAAAACCTACTTTCCCTTTTGGGAGGAAAAAATGCTGCTGGAAGTTTTTAATTAAAAATCAATACCTGCCAGAATTGACGAGGGGAAAAAAGGTGAGTGGTGCGTTGAGGTATATGTGGAGATAAAAAACATTATCAAAGAAGGGAGTGTATTAAAGTATAGTAGTACCAACACTCTTATATGAGGTGGTTGGAGGCATTGGAGATGTCCTGTCTAAGGGCAGTGTGTGGTGTAAATATTATGCAGAGAATTCAAAGTGTGGTAATCAGGAGAAGGTGTGGAGTTAATAAAAGTATTAGTCAGAGGGCTGAAGAGGGGTTGTGAGATGGTTTGGTCATTTAGAGAGAATGGATCAAAGTAGAATGACATGGAGAGTGTATAAATCTGTCGAGGAAGGAAGGCTGGGTAGGGGTCATCCTCGAAAAGGTTGGAGGGAGAGGGTAAAGGAGGTTTTGTGGGCAAGGGGCTTGGATTTCTAGCAAGCATGCATGAGTGTGTTAGATAGGAGTGAACAGAGACAAATGGTATTTGGGACCTGATGAGCTGTTGGAGTGTGAGCAGGGTAATATTTAGTGAAGGGATTCAGGGAAACCGGTTATTTTTATATAGCCGAACTTGAGTACTGGAAATTGGAAGTACAATGCCTGCACTTTAAAGGAGGGGTTTGGGATATTGGCAGTTTGGAGGGATATGTTGTGTATCTTTATATGTATATGCTTCTAAACTGTTGTGTTCTGGGCACCTCTGCAAAAACAGTGATTATGTATGAGTGAGGTGAAAGTGTTGAATAATGATGAAAGTATTTTCTTTTTGGGGATTTTCTTTCTTTTTGGGTCACTCTGCCTTGGTGGGAGATGGCCAAATTGTTAAAAAAAAAAGTACTCAGTCAACCTTCAAAAGCAGAGAATGTTTTCATGGTCCAGTAGTAGTTTTTGACGAATTTCTCAGCTCAATCTGTTTCTTTATTTCTTAACCATCTTAAAATGATGTCACTTACACCTCTCCTAAATGCTGCTTTTGTGATGAACGCACCAACATGTAGATGACTGTACTTAATATTCTTGAATTTTTTATCCATACTTGCAACACTAGGCTGGTTCTTATTATGTATTAGCAAGATTTGTATAGCCCATTGTGTAGCTGCAGACATAACTGCTACTATAAAACTGATTTGTATGTTGATACTTGCTAAGGTACAGAAAAACAAGGGAGTGGAAAAAAAGGGTTAAACTAAATAAACTAATGTATTAAATGCAGCTAAGTTATTTTTCCTGTTTCTCGTGGGTTTTCGGTATTTCTGCTCAGAATCATAATACGTATTGCTAAAACACAGAGTATTAAGGGAGTAGGAAAATATGTTGTGCCAGAGTAACTGACAAGTCATCAAGCCAAAATGTAAAGATGCAGTGATGTAGCAGATCAGGTATCTCTAAGCACTTTAGCATATATTATTATGTAATTAGGCAATTCCCATTCCTACTACTACTAACAACTACCACCCCACATGAAGACGATGACAATAATAGTCGTATGTTCGATATTTTCATATCATTAAGTTTTAAGTTGTAGGAATTGTGTTAGTTTCATACCGTATACACTTCCCACTCTTGTGTACTGTGCTGATAACATCTGAAAATTTTGAATTAGCAAAATACACTTAAAATTCAGATTATATGTATGCATTTCTTTCAGATTCATCCCAAGACAAAGAACATATACCAGAGACAGACCCACAGGATGGCCTAGCAGTTCTGAATGCAGCATTAACGCTTAATTCACTCCTTGCCAAGGCAAAGGCTCAGCAGTCAGAAGCTTTAGCAGCCCACAGAGCAACACCTCCAACCATTACCAAGGTCAGTTGCATAAGCGAGTGTTTACGTAAATGTAATTACTGGACCTATTCAAATTTGCAGGAAATATTAAAGTTCATGGACTCATTTTCTAACTTGATTAGCCAACTAAAATAAGTTACATTCTGTTTACATTTGTACCTCTGTATGAAGTTGGCTTCTGCAGTATTGTTGTCTATTTAATTATACTACTTTTCTGCTATTTCTTTTAAGATGCGTGATTAGGTTTCATCTCTCTCCCTCATTCTTTATCCTACCTGCTAAAGTCTCTTTTGTATTTTCACAGTAGATTGTTTATTATTTACTTTCATTTACTGGTATTTTCACATTGTATGTTGGAATGTTTTAAAATAGCCTTTGATCAGCAGAGCCCGTCAGAGCTAGGAAATGAATCGCGTCCACCCCCTCCTCCACTGTTGAAGATTCCAGTGCCAGTACGTGATCATGAATCTACTACTGGGCCTCCTATGGCCCATTCCAGAGAGGGTAGTCCACAGGATCCAGGAGGAACTCGCACACCACCCAGTCGCACTCCTAACCCTGCACCACTCTCACCTCTACCATCTCTATTGCCTCCACCACCACCACCCTTACCACAAGAAACTGATGAAGGAAGTTCATTTCTCAATTTCTAGATAAGTTACATTGAGATGTGCTCTTGGTGTATTTTCTGGTCTGTGGAGCAGACATTGTATTTTTCATTATTACATTGTGATTATCTGTCCTTAATGAATAGATGGTTGGGAACCTACAACTACCAAAATGTGTGTCTAGGTTCTGTAATAGAGGGAATTCCTCTTTAAAGTGTTAGGCAAACTCAGGGGACTCAGTCATGATATACTGTTCATTTAAATAATTAATACATTACACAAATGACTGCTCAGTGTAACATTGAGCAATGATAAAAAAAAATTAATTTAAGTTATTTAATGTATGCTGGTTTTGCATGTTAGCATTTTATTAGATGCTGTCTTTCCCAAGCGAAGAACAGGCATCAGCTCATTATTTATAAGATTAGACACAGTAGGTATTGCTTTAAGATCTGTATTATCTCAGCTCATGGACAAATCAAGCATAATTTAAATGTTATAAGATATATTTAAATGCTTTAAAAATGTGTCAGTTTCAGTGACTGAGACATATCATTTATAAAAATTATAATCCAAATCTGTATATGTGATACTTTGTGTGTGTACTGTTTACAAATTTATTTTGAGGGAAATATTCGTATAAATGAACTTGTTTGTATCTGTATTTAATAATGAATTTCATCAATTAGTAGTTCTAGTTCAATGTGTATATTTTATGAGTGCAAATCTCAGTTTATGTTGACATCACAAACACACTTTTTTATGTCAGATCAAGTGAGGACAACATAAGCAGCAATTGGTATCCAAAAATTTCCATTAATTTTCATAGTTATGTATTACGTATTACTCTGATCCAGGATTTCTCGGTTAGCTATGGACCCCTATGGGGGCCATGACAAACTGTGTGAGAACTAGTTATCAGTTAGCAAATTGGCTGAGAAACTATCTTCTGACTTCTTTAATATTGTTTCCTTGCTGTATTATTATTTACTAAGAATCGAGTCAAAGATCTGAAGTGTGAATCTTTTTTTACTCATAATTCTGCATATTTACTGCTATTTTGAGATCTTCGCAGTCTTTTAGTACAATTAACATTAAATGAAAATTTGATCCAGTAAAAATTTTTAACTCTTGGATGTCTTAAATTGAGACCAAGCATACCATACCAGGGGTGTGGACTGTCTGCAGTGTTCCATGTCAAAAGTAATATGCAGTTGTTCTTAGGGATATAGTTAGTAGCACATCAAAAAACTCTTTTTGATACTCTTCATCTACACAGTACGGTATCTTATTTTATTCTAAACAAAAAAATATTATACAGAGCAATATACAAAATTGTTCTGAACATCTATTATATGACTAAGACTTCTGTGTTCTCATGTGATAAAGAGTATGCTTGTGTCTGGGTAATGCTCAATATATTGTATCTACTTAAAATATTAGCTTACATTTCTTAGTCTCAGATTTTTTGCATTGTCAGTCACTTTTCAAAGAAATCATATTAATTTTTCATATATAAATTAACCAGTTGAGTAGCTAACCAAAAGAAAATTGATTGGAACAAATATATTAGTTTATTATACTAAGTATGTTAATGCTTGACCAAGGTGTGTAATATGTACACATCACAATACAGTAGTTGTGTCTGATCATATCATGCACTATTTCATGTTATTTATAGCCTTTGACTTCCAAATTAGTGCAGTACAGTGCCATTTTCCTGGACTTGTGATCAGAAGCTGTGTGATAGGTGTAATTTAGAATCTGTTAATAATGGGGATGAGTTCAGAGAACACACAAAATAAAAGTAAAACACACAGTTGTTTGCAGTGTTAAAAGCTACTGTGTTCATTATGAACTTGTGCATTACAGCATGGAATTATTTTACTTTGAGCAAATATGCATCAACATGTCATATGCATTTTTGGTAATGGCAGTGAGGTGTTGGCTGTTGTGCATTTTTTCTTCTCACTACTTGAGTGAACTTGATATTTGTTTCATATTGGTCACAGTAATTAAAAACAGTGTTCACAATCTTTCACATTAAAACAGTATTTTAAATTATGTAGCCTTGATTCTCTTGCCGCTTGTAGATATACTAGTACATAGCCAACAAAGTTATAAACCCTTCCTCCCTCTCCCTCTAACCCACTCCTTTATCTGCGTGAGTATGAGACAGAGCGAAGAACTTGGTTACCTGTAATCTGTTGCCATCCTACACCTAAAGTTCAACACTCATATGTTAACATGGTACAGTACCACTACATTGCCTTTCTGAGCACAAGAGTTTTTAACACGTTTTATGAATGCATTTTCTTGTCACAGTCACAAGCATGCAGAGAATTATATTAAGTACTTCCAATATCACTAATATATGTTAAAAGACTAGGTAGAAATGGAATAAAATTCTATGTGTTATGTTTCTTGATGTACTTATAAAGTTGACTACCATGCTGCAGGAACCCACAGCCTACATTATTCATAAACACCTGCTGATAGTGAGGTACCATTACTGCCCTGCTGTTACACTTTTACCAGGGCTTTTTGTTTTTTTATATAAGTGGTAGATATGATGCAGTAACATCCAGAGTAAAAGATAAACAGTTCCAGGAAGATGGTGCTGTATTGTTTGCACAAAATCAAAACCTTGTGTGAAAAATATTTAAGAAGAGCCTCAGTTGTTGGAAAAGCAGCCCTTGGTTTATATTAAATTTTAGTAGATTAATGGTAACATATGAAATTTTAAGTGAATACATGGTTATATTTGCAGGTTCATACAGAGAAAGAAAGTTAGGTGTCATTTTGTATTTATCAGTGCCTACAATTATTAGACACACTCTGAAGAGAATGTGCATACATTTACAAAGCTTGACAAAGGTACATACTGATAAGTTTGAAAGAATAGGTTGAATAATAATATACCAGAAGGTGTATAAGTTGAAGTACCTGAAAAATCCTTGCTTACTGAAGGTTGTGGTGATGTGTGTAATTCTACTCTGTGTGTATGAAACAAATCCTAGTGTGTATATTTCCATATATAGCTCTATTCTATTATCTGTACTGCCAATCCCATGAGAAATAGCCATGAACAGCCTTCCATCTCATTTAATGTGGCCTAATTTGCAATGAGCTGTAGTGAACTGCTTCCACATTGCTTGAGTACTTTATACACTCTACTATCAGCCAAGAATATTAAATCACAAAACAGGCTGGAACAGTTTACAAGAAAACCAGAAATTGAAAATGAAAACTGCACAATGATTTTTTTCTGTCTTGGACCATTATCAAATTGTGAGTGAGTACTGTATAAGAGAGGAAGAAAACCAGAAGGTGAGAGGTGAGGTGACAGCCAAGGTTTGGGCAAGTCGCTTATATTTTGAAGATAAAGCCTTTAATAATGCTATATAGTGGGAAGACAGACTTCAACAGAAGCACGTCTGGGGCTAAGATTCATGTTAGGAATGTTGTGTATAAAGGTCATCTCAGCAATATGGCCTCTGGGAATGCTTGAAGAGGGAAAGATAATTTTGGAAGGGGGCAAGTTTATTTGATGATTTGTATCTAACATGCTAAACAGGAGCAATGTTGATGTTAGTCAGGTAAATATTTCTCTTGCATTCTGACTGGCTTATAAAGTGTAAACCTGTTCACCCTGCTCGCATTAACAATGTGCAGTGGAACCTCGGTGTTCCAACGAACAGGAAAAAAAATTGACCTGGAGTCTGAACATGCTGGCTTGTTTCATATTCAATTGTAAAAAACTTTACATGAAAACCCTGTTTCAAAAATGCTTTGAAGTGACCTCTAACACCGACCTAACTCTCAGAGACTTTTGAAAGAGTCAGTTCACTGTTCTCCAGTGTGAGGCTGATAATTAAAGCCTGAGAAATACTGTTTCAGACATTGAAATTTTCTCAGTTCGAACACCACCTAGGAGCCAATTAAGTTCAAACACTGAGGTTCCATTGTATTTTTCTGTCATTAAGGAAGATAATTATACCATAAACTGAAGCCTTTCGAAAACCATATCTCTGAGGTTTCATATGACTAGTAACATGAATCTTTACCCAAGTATTGCTTCTTTTGAATCTTTCCTCTCCTGGCACTGTCATATGCTCAGATCTTTAGAGCAGTCATGGTTTGACCTACTTTGATTGTCTCTCTACATCTTGCTACCTTGCTTCCTTCCTCTTTTCCAACTCACAATTTGATAATGGTTTAGATTGGCATGTCAAATAGTTTTCATTTGTAGTGTACCAGGAACATTAGAAGTCATAGGTAAATTATTTTCATTCAGTGTTCTTTTTGGTGTTTATCTCAAGCACTGGCTTTTTAAACATTATTTCTTTCTGCCCCTACCTTACCTTTGATGACCATAATTGCAGATTGCATGTGTATTTCTTTCTTTATGAGAGTACATGCATTTATGCTTTTATTTGTGCATTTAGTGCTGAATTGGTCACCCCTGTTAATGGAGCTTAATCAACAACCAGACTGTTATAAATAGGTATATTCTGAAATGTCTTAACTTAACCATACTCATCAGTATAAATAATCATTGCATAATTATTCATAACTATTCCAGGTTTATTGAATTTCATCATTTAATTAGTTTTATACATAAATTGTCCTGTTTGAAAATTTTTCTTACTTTGGTTTGAGAATTTTTCTTTCTTTGGTTGCATAGTCTCTCTCCATTTTACAACAGAGGTTTAGGTAAAACTCTTCAACCAAAATTTCTTCATTGCTTTTCAGTTTCAATTCACACCTCAATTCCACCTCAATTCATCTATAATGTGTGTGTTAATAGGGACTTCTCAAATGGACATGCATATTATATCCTCAACAGTGGTTGCATAATGTTCAAAGTTTGCATTTTGTTTACTGCCAAAAATACATGTATTATGCTATATAAACACTATAGTCAGAGACTTAACAAAACTACAGTATTCTAAGTCATCAACTGTTATCAACTCATTTAATTTTTTTAGGTATGTAAAGTGACATAAGTTTCAAAAAAATTTCTCAACAGTTTGCCTGTTAAAAATATTAACATTTTAATTTCAGATACAATGTTGTTACTTGAATAATTAAGCTCCACAATTTTCATTTCTTCATCCAACCATATTTGGGTGCCTCTTTTTCCATTATATTGCTAACCACTTTTACTTGTAGCATTTTGCTGGTTAATCAAGTAAAGTGCATCCATATTGGGTTCCTCTTCCATTATGTTGTTTATCTCTTCTGATGGTAGCACTCTTGCTAGCTCATCAAATAAAGATTCTGACAGTACAGTGGATTCATTTTCTTTGTCTCCTGGAACTTCTATGATGTAGCCTTTCTTAAGAGTATATTCACTTCCTTCACAGGCTTTCCTCTCACATCTTGCAATTATCAATTCATTCCAAACATTTTCCCATCACCTCTAGACTTCTGCATCTATTAATTCTACACACACTTTTGAGGTAACTTTTTTTTCAGCTCTCATTCTGATGGTGGGTATAGTTTTGGGATCACTTTACATCCAATATTTCACAAGTTTTGTTTATATTTCTCTAATTTAATTAATTATGATTTTCTTATTTTTTTATTCACTGGTCATTTCTCATCAAAGCAGGATGACATGAGAAGAAAATACATTAATAACCTTCATTGTTTTGGTTATTACATGGTTACCAGTCCCATACTCTTAAGCATTTTAGTTGCCTTTTATGACACACATGGCTTCAGCCCTTTGGTACTCAACCTCGTTTATAATTATGTTCTTACTCTGTCACCGTGTTGTGTGCCTTACCCTAGATATTTGCCCGGCTTACAGGTTAGTAGTTTTTTTAATACCACTGTATTTTTACTGCTCTCTGAAGGCTGTACACTATTGGCTTTTTTTTTTTTTTTTTTTTCTCTCAATACGTCGGCTGCTTCCCGAGACAGGCTGACCCAAAAAGAAAGAAAAAACTTTCATCATCATTCAACACTTTCACCATCACTCATACATATTAAGTGTTTTTGCCTTTTATGGTCAAATAATGTTTTCTACTTCCCAGGGTATTTTCTTTGTTGTGCTTCACTTATTCAAGAGTGTCAGCAGTTCTTCTATTTGAATACATTTTAGAATTTTCTTGCAGTGCTGTATGACCCATTCAGGTTAGCTCTTAGTTTGATTATATGATTATGGAATTTTCTTACCTGTAAGCTTTGCAACTCCAAACCTTTCTTGTCTGTAACCATTTCAACTCAATTTTACTTTTTCTTCAGAATTTTGATTCCAGCTCTTATGTATTTTACCATTTGCTATCAGTATACTAATATTTGGAAAACTACAAAATTCTCCTCCAGTTCAATATACACTGTGTACAAAGGGCTTGCATCACCTAATAATGCATTTTTGTCAAAGGTTCATTATTACTGGCTATGAAATGTTATCCTACCTCAGCTTATTTGAAACCTGAATCTAACTGAAGTATGCCACCTCCCAGGATGTTGCCCATAACAATCAGCTACACCCAGGTACAGTACCTATTTACTGCTAGGCAAATGGGGGTAATAGGTATAAGAAATATGTCTGTCTCTCTTCCCCTGCCTACAGACTTATGCAGTTCCTTACTGCCTCTTTCTAGTTCACTTCTCCAATATTGTCAGTGGAACCATCAGAACATCTTTCCATCATCATTACAGTTACATAGTGAATTTAATTTGTACCCAAATTTGAAGTTTTCTTCTACAGATACCTCATGAATCTATTTTCCTCCAGTGAAGAGGCTTGTCTGTACCACATAAGCACATGCATAATATGCATCTTCCTATTATTTCATTAGACCTTAATGAAAAATACATGCTGTATATATACAGCATTGTGCTTTTTGTACTAATATTGTTCTTTATTATTGTTGAAATGCTGTACTGCATATATATATATATATATATAGAAGTTCAAAATATTTTCCCAAAATGCAGTATCACATTGTACTTCGTCTTCACTAATAATTGTGGATGTGGAGGTGGGTGTGATCATGGAAAGAATTTCTCTAAATTGCTTCATTTTACAGCTATTTGACTTTCCCCCAGTGAACTCAATCCTCATTTAGGCCTTAAATTTTTCAAGTTTTGTACCAAAAGCTAAGAATAAAACACATCCTCATTCACCTGACTGTACAGTAACTGTTACTTCCACTTACTATTTTGGGCACGAATGCTCAGCTTAAAATTTAGATATTTCTTATTTAAATATCTTTAACTTCTATGTCCTTGTGCCTTTGCTGGTTTATTTGATATTATGCAGGTATACATAGGCACTGCCACTGGTGTTAAAACTATCATTATTGCATTGAAAGAAATATATCGAACAGAAGGAATTAAAAGTTATGTTTTATAAGGATGTTGTTGTGTAAGATACTGAATGCTAAAATAAACTCTATGTTGATCCATTTGGTGCAAAGGTAATATGTACAATTAACTACCAGTCTCTGAATGTGACCGCACAGCTTACACATGAACACAATGCACTCATTTACTATACTTTAATCAAAATCTGTTTTAGTATGACATATGTGCACATATAGGTACATGCATGCTCCCATTACATTTCATATAGTTGAAAATCTCTAAATAAGTAATAAATAATAAATATTCCTGTAAAAGTAATGTTCAGTGAAATACGAAATGTCTCACCTAAAAATAGTCACTTTATATATCTTTGCCAGCATTCATTCTTCCCAGCTTCCTAAACACTACTCAGTTTCAAGCTTCACATATTATAACAAGGAATTCAGGTTTCTACTTTTTCTGTTTCTTCATTCTCCTTCAGTCCTGTTTTATCAGTGCCAGTATGTTGGTTGCTGTCATTCTGCAGGAAATTTTTTTTTTCCATTAATTTTTCAATCTGACTTAGGCCATAGTTTCACATGAGAAATAATCTAGCAAAACTTCTTAGCCTATCTAGGACATTTACGTGGTCTTAAAGAGAAAAATATAAACAGAGTTCATTAATTGTACTTTCAGGGGAAATTCTTTCATGTTGCTCTGCTTTAAAACATAAATTTGCAATTATAGTTTTTAAATTTCTCTTTAAATATACAGTATCAGTCATGATGATTTAATTAAAAAAAAAAATTGAGATGTGGAATGATGGTTTAAAGTGTGTTCATCAGTAGCCAAACAAGATTGGAATAGATGGAGAGAGATTCTGCAAGGTAATATAAAAAAAAATGGGAATGAATAGCAAGTGAAAGGCAGGAAAAATGTTATAAACATTAATAAGATGAGCATGAATGGATTACCCGGGGACTGAATCAATTTATGCTTTAGTGGCCAGTGGCACATGGGGGTCAGTGCATTTAAATACTACAGGGAAGAGAACTGAATTTTTTTGCACGATTTTCAAGTTCTTGGTGAATATTTAAGATAAAAAACCCCCTTTTGTTTTATATTTTGTAGAATGTAAGTTCTTGTATATAAAATTATCATGGTAAAAAAATTTTATGTATACAGAAAAACGGCAGTTTTTGCAGTTTAAAATTTATTTCAGGCTTTTTAACATTTGGTGTAGGAAGTACTTTTTGAAATTTTTTTTTGTCAATGATTAATGCCATTTTTAAGGTTTAAGATTAAAAAAAAAATTTTTTTATAACTTTAAAAAAGCTTCAATAAGCTTATCCAAGGCCTTAGAGGGTTTATTCGGGGTTTTTACAGTTAACGCAGTGCCCTTGTGTATGAAAATCATCCTTTTTACGAGTTACTAACAGATATTAGCACACACAGTTTTTAAACAACAAAAGATAAAATAAACCGTGATAGTCTTCTCCTTGGTTTGGGGGGTATTTTGTTAAAAAAACATTTTTTTTTTTAAAGGGGGTAAATTATTGCAAAAATGGGTAATGTGTTTAATAATTTAATCTTTTGGTTAAGGTAACTTGTAAAATTTTAATCCTTGATGGTGTACACATAAAATTCAGAGAAACAAGGGCTTGGCCAAGATGCTGTCATTTTTTGTAAGAGTAAGGGTTGTCATTTTTTTCTTTTTAGTTTTTCTTACCAGTGCTGTATATTTTGTGTTTTTCCTAATTAAAGACTTCATAGATTATTTTCATTGGTTTTTCTTACCTAATTTGATGACCTTTTATACCCTGTAATATATTATTGTTATGTGGAAAAAATTGTACTCTTCATTTGTAGCAGATTAATCTGTTGGGATAAGATTGCCAATGTAGGTGTTCAAGGTTATATTGATTTTTTGTATATGGGCCAGGGCACCCTTTTCAAAAATAAACCCACCTCAATGTGTTTATCATCACAAAATGAAATAATGGGCATAAGTTTAAGGGCACTTACCATTTAAAAAAATTTTTTTCATAAAAAGTTAGTGATAAAAAGTATACTCGGGGTGTAGCTGCTGGATAATTTGCTATGTTCCTGGGAAATTTATATCAAACCTGTGAAAAAATATTTTTTCTTACATAGAAAATTATATTTCTAATTTAACATGACACTATAATTTTTTTAAATAATTTCTTTTTGCAGTAAATTCCTTACTTTAAACGAAAACTCATCGTAAAAAGCTCTGGACTCCTTGTTTCTACTTATATCATTTTCCCACTTGTTTTCCTCTTTACTTTAGGGAGCCCTGACAGGGGAAATAGACATGCGTATTGTTAACCCTTTAGGTTTTTTGGATGTACTAGTATAGCTTACCCAGGATGTTGCCCATAACAATCAGCTACACCCAGGTACAGTACCTAATTACTGCTAGGCAAATGGGGGTAATAGGTATAAGAAATATGTCTGTCTCTCTTACCCTGCCTACAGACTTATGCAGTAACTTACTGCCTCTTTCTAGTTCACTTCTCCAATATTGTCAGTGGAACCATCAGAACATATTTCCATCATCATTACAGTTACATAGTGAATTTAATTTGTACCCAAATTTGAAGTTTTCTTCTACAGATACCTCATGAATCTATTTTCCTCCAGTGAAGAGGCTTGTCTGTACCACATAAGCACATGCATAATATGCATCTTCCTATTATTTCATTAGACCTTAATGAAAAATACATGCTGTATATATACAGCATTGTGCTTTTTGTACTAATATTGTTCTTTATTATTGTTGAAATGCTGTACTGCATATATATTTATATATATATAGAAGTTCAAAATATTTTCCCAAAATGCAGTATCACATTGTACTTCGTCTTCACTAATAATTGTGGATGTGGAGGTGGGTGTGATCATGGAAAGAATTTCTTTAAATTGCTTCATTTTACAGCTATTTGACTTTCCCCCAGTGAACTCAATCCTCATTTAGGCCTTAAATTTTTCAAGTTTTGTACCAAAAGCTAAGAATAAAACACATCCTCATTCACCTGACTGTACAGTAACTGTTACTTCCACTTACTATTTTGGGCACAAATGCTCAGCTTAAAATTCAGATATTTCTTATTTAAATATCTTTAACTTCTATGTCCTTGTGCCTTTGCTGGTTTATTTGATATTATGCAGGTATACATAGGCACTGCCACTGGTGTTAAAACTATCATTATTGCATTGAAAGAAATATATCGAACAGAAGGAATTAAAAGTTATGTTTTATAAGGATGTTGTTGTGTAAGATACTGAATGCTAAAATAAACTCTATGTTGATCCATTTGGTGCAAAGGTAATATGTACAATTAACTACCAGTCTCTGAATGTGACCGCACAGCTTACACATGAACACAATGCACTCATTTACTATACTTTAATCAAAATCTGTTTTAGTATGACATATGTGCACATATAGGTACATGCATGCTCTCATTACATTTCATATAGTTGAAAATCTCTAAATAAGTAATAAATAATAAATATTCCTGTAAAAGTAATGTTCAGTGAAATACGAAATGTCTCACCTAAAAATAGTCACTTTATATATCTTTGCCAGCATTCATTCTTCCCAGCTTCCTAAACACTACTCAGTTTCAAGCTTCACATATTATAACAAGGAATTCAGGTTTCTACTTTTTCTGTTTCTTCATTCTCCTTCAGTCCTGTTTTATCAGTGCCAGTATGTTGGTTGCTGTCATTCTGCAGGAAATTTTTTTTTTCCATTAATTTTTCAATCTGACTTAGGCCATAGTTTCACATGAGAAATAATCTAGCAAAACTTCTTAGCCTATCTAGGACATTTACGTGGTCTTAAAGAGAAAAATATAACAGATGTTCATTAATTGTACTTTCAGGGGAAATTCTTTCATGTTGCTCTGCTTTAAAACATAATTTGCAATTATAGTTTTTAAATTTCTCTTTAAATATACAGTATCAGTCATGATGATTTAATTAAAAAAAAAAATTGAGATGTGGAATGATGGTTTAAAGTGTGTTCATCAGTAGCCAAACAAGATTGGAATAGATGGGGAGAGATTCTGCAAGGTAATATAAAAAAAAATGGGAATGAATAGCAAGTGAAAGGCCAGGAAAAATGTTATAAACATTAATAAGATAGAGCAGTGAATGGATTTACCTCAGGACTGAATCTAATTATGCTTTAGTGGCCAGCTGGCACATGGTGGGTCAGTGCATTATAAATACTACATGGAAGAGAACCATGAATTTTTATTGCACGACCTCAAGTTCTTGGTGTAATATGTAAGATATAAAATCCCTTTTGTTTTATACTTTTGTAGAATGTAAGTTCTTGTATATAAAATTATGCATGGTAAAGAATTTTATGTATACAGATAACTGGCAGTTTTTGCAGCTTAAATTATTTCAGGCTGTTAACATTTGGTGTAGGAAGTACTTTTTGTAATTTTTTGTCAATGATTAATGCCATCTTTAAGGTTTAAGATTAGAAAAAAATGTTTTATAACTTTACAAAAGCTTCAATAAGCTTATCCAAGGCCTTAGAGATGCTGATATTCAGGTTATTACAGTTAACTGCAGTGCTCTTGTGTATGCAAACTCATCACTTGTTACTGAGTTACTAACAGATATTAGCAGCACACAGTATATAACAACAAAATGATGAATAAACCTGTGATAGTCTTCTCCTTGGTTTGTGGGTATTTTGTTAACAAAACAGTTTTTTATTTTAAGGGTAAATTATTGCAAAAATGGGTAATGTAGTTCAATAATTTAATCTTCTGGTTAAGGTAACTTGTAAAATTTTAATCCTTGATGGTGTACACAGTATATATTCAGAGATAACAAGGACTTGGCCAGAGATGCTGTCATTAATTTGTAAGACGTAAGGCTTGTCATTGTGTCTTATTAGTTCTTCTTACCAGTGCTGTATATTTTGTGTTTTCCATAATTAATGACATTCATAGATTATTTTACATTAGGTTTTTCTTACCTAATTTGATGACCTGTTTATACTCCTGTAATATAGTTATTGTTATGTGGAAATATTGTACGTCTTCATTGTAGCATGATTAATCTGTTGGTATAAGAGTTGCCAATGTAGGTGTTCAAGGTTATATTGTATTTTCTTGTATATGGGGCACAGGACATGCCCTTTTCAATAATAACCTACCTCTAATGTGTTTATCATCACAATAATGAAATAATGGGCATAAGTTAAGGACACTTACCATTTAAAAATTTGTTTTCATAAAAAGTTAGTGATAAAAAGTATACTCGGGATGTAGCTGCTGGATAGTTGTGCTATGTTCATGGAACTTTATCATCATAACCTGTGTAAAAAATATTTTTTATTAATGTATGAATACCCATGTTAACTTCAAACCTACCTTTTTTTTCGGTAGAATACATGTATTTCAAAATAATGTAATGACATTAGCAGATAGTTTTATCTATTAACGAAAAGAATGATTGTTGACTTTTTGCCTAAGAATTTTTTTTTTTCTATAGTTGACCTTGCAGCCTTCTCCATTAGGATGTGATTTATAATGGTCAGCTAAATTTTAGGTGTGCATTTATGGCTCAGGAAACAGAAGCAGGTGTATGGAGACTTATTGATACACCCTG